CCTGTGTTTGTTGTATGACCCCGCAATGCCCACGGACGGCTGACTTCATCTGACCCTGCGGATGTAGAGATCGGTCGGGGCGTTGGGCACGCGGCGCGAGACGTCGCCCTTGAGCCAGCCGTTGGTGTTGAAGCCGCGGCACAGCGGGTTGGCGAGGCACAGCCACTGGAGCTGGGCCAGGTCCGTGCTCCACGTCGGGTGCGGCATCAGGTCGGACCCGTACGCGTCCGTGTTGGCCACCTTTATGAAGTACGATTCGTAGGCCGACCGGTCCAGATATCTGTACGCCACCCATCATCAGGCGCGTGCGGTGTGCGCGTGTGTTGTGTGTGCGTGTGTGTGTGTGTGTGTGGTGGCGTACTTCTGAGAGATCCGCAGGGCCACCTGGAGGGTGTCGCCGGTGGGCGTGGTGGGGTAGGTGGTGTTTTCCTGGTTCCACTTCTGCTCCAGCTGCAGCAGCTCCGTGCCGTACGCGGTGCTGTTGAACATCACCCCAGCACCGACCGCTTTCACTGCAGCGCGCACAAGCTCGCGGTGAGACAGACATGCAACACGACACGACCCGAGCTTAGAGCTGCAACGGGGGAGGCGAGTACGAAGCGAAGTGAGGAAAAGAGTCCAGCGCGGTTTATAGTAGGAACTCAGTAGGCCGGCCCAGTGCTTGGTGGCGTAGTCAGAGATCTGGCCGTCCGGTCCCCACAGGGTCTGTTGCCGCCGCCCCACCACACTGTGGCGTCAGCGAACATGAACAAAAAGAGGAGAGATGGTGACGAAGAGGCGCACGATCTGGTTGCGCGCGTTGAACTGGTAGTGGAGGGCCTGCTCTGGGATGGACGCCCACGACACCGCATCCTTGATCCTGTGCATCGGGTGGGGCCGCGAGGCCATTCATTTTCATACACAAGTGATGGAGCGCGGTACTAGGCGGAAGGTGCCTGCGTACCAAGTACCGAGGAGGTAGTTGGGGTTGGTGGCCAGCAGCCGGTCGAGGTCACTGATGATTCCCAACAACTCGGCGGCGAGCGCTGCGCACAGCACGCGCCGACAGAGGAGGAGCAAGGGAGTGTGTAAGAGAATAAGAAATCGCTGCTTGCTGAGGTGGAGACTCAGGGATCACGCACGCAGGAACGGCAGCGTGTCGCTCTTGTTGGTGGCATAGGACGTGTAGGCAGCGTCGAGCTGCGAGTAGACGTCGTTGAACGTGTTGGCCAGCACCTGACCATCATTGTTACGGGCGCCCAGTGGAGTTCGGTTTGAGCACACACAACTGTCGCCGCACCGACACCGACACAGGGTAGAGGGGGCGTTTAAGGTACCTGGCGCGTGAGGTCCACGCAGTCGTACTGCCACGGCCCGTTGGGAGCATAGCCCTCTGTTTGGGCCGATTGGAGGAACAGACGGAGCGCCTCCACCTCCTTGGTCGCGTTTGACGTACCGCCGTGGCCCATGCCCAGAGCTGAGCTCGCGAGCACATGTACTCGTGGTGAGTTTCCATTGCGTGCGTTGTGGGAGAAATTGCAGTCATACCAGGAGCGAAGCCGAAGAGGCCGGCATCGAGCCCGGACTGGTTGTAGGTGGCCTCGCGCAGCAGCTCCCATGCCTCGCCTACTGGCGACGACCCCGTCGCGAGGCCATACCGCCGCTCGGCGTAGCGCTGCACCCACTCGACGATGTCGAAGGCCTCGCTGCGCCAGCCCATCTCGGACATGAGCTCGTAGACGACCGGGTTCTGCTCGATGGCCTCCATCGTCATCCCCACTCCCACCTGCTCGCAGGGCAAGCATTATTGTCGGGCCATCGCCTCTCATTGTTGGTTTGGTGTCATGGCGTGTACCATGGTGTTGCCGGGCGTGGCGAGAGCAATCAGCGGGTCCGACGAGTACTGCGTCAGATTGCCGTACAGCCCTCTGTAGCGCGGACCACAGACATGAGGAGTGAGCCAAGGTAAGAAGACCACACAACTAAAGGGGAACGCACCTCACGCCGCCTCCGTTGTGAAGCATGCACCACACGAACTCCTTGCCAAAGTACGAGTCTGCACACACATAGAATCAAATGGGAGCGATTCAGCCATGACCGTGTGATCGGCTACTAGTGCCACACCACGGAACTGACCTGTTTTATTCCACTCGGGGCTGTTGTCCGAGGCCAGGTCCAGGATCAGCATGTCCGAGTTATCCACGCCGCTGTGTTGTTGGTGCACCCACATGGAGCCAACCATCAGCGCAATGCGGGTTGAGTGGGTGGGTGGATCGGCACATCGATCGTATGTCGGTTACCTGAGATAGGCCTTGATGCGGTCCTTGGTCCAGAAGGGGTCGAACACGAACGACCAGCCCTGCATCACCCACAGCGCCTGCGGGTCCTGCGTGGCCATACCCTGTAAACGCGCAGCCGCCACCGATTCGTTGGTTGCCAATAACGGTCAGAGACGCTAGTCAGAATGGTGGGCTGAGGTTGGGTTGTTGAGCGCAGCACCTCGTAGACGGCTCGGCTGGCAGCGGCCAGGTAGGTCGGGTCGGCAGAGGGCGGCGACATCTCGTTGAACGTGTCGGCGTTGTAGATGTGGTCTGTCCCGAACTCTTCCTCCACCAAGCGGATGACCTTGCTCCCGATGGTCTTGTAGAGCGAGTCGAGGGGCGACAGGAAGTAGACGTTGGTGTATTGGTGCGGGAAGCCGGCCCAGTCGGCCGACTTGGTGAGGTTGGCCGTCGGGTAAATCCGCTTGATGCCTTGTTCACCACAGCCACCACCACGACCAAGAGTGAACTTGACGCTCGCTGGAGGTGTTTGTGACGGTAAACAAACCTTCGGGCACAAAGCCGGCGAAGGCCGGAAGAACGGGCAGCATGCCGAACATTCTCTGTCGCTCGACGATCTTTTTCTGCAGTTCGGCCTGTG